TTACCATCGTTTGTCTAAGATCCCCGAGCAACACTATTCAATCAACTTTCACCGATATCTTCAACTTATGGCCGATGCATATAACGACAAACATTAGATGTTCGCTACATTAATCAGCATGTAACCAAGAATAATTCATGATTTTGTGGAGAATGAATAGATATGTCACTACTTTGTATTCATAATAAAATATAAAGTGATGAATTTAACGATTGAATTTAATGAATTTTTGTTCCAAAAGGAGGTCAATTGTCTTGGTCCCAGAGATAAACGATCAATATAGACGAAAAAAGTCTTTCGCATATTAGATTAACACATCTAAAAAAAAATAAAAATGTAGCTGGATTCTATATTGATGATTACAGAGAAACAATTAGTTAACATTTTTTTTCTCAAAAACAAGTTCCCTATAGCTACAATCAGAGATCTGTTTGTAATATGCAGTAACTTAATAATCTTGCATATTGATCCGTTTCACAGTATGTCGGAAAGTTATTCATATTACGTTTTCAAAAATTCAAATTTGTTTTTAGTAAGAATCGTGTTTTTTTCTTTCGAATAATCGAACACAAATTATTGAACTAAAATTCAATTGATATTCAAAATATGCACTCAAAAGTGTGTAAACAGATCATGTTTCTCAAGTCTTTATTTTATAGTAGTTTAACTTTTTTTTGACCTTTTATGTTTTTAGTGGAAATCCTCTTAGGATCGAAACCTCACATATTGTAAAATTTTAATCAAAAGAAAGAGTTAATCAAAAAAACAATTGTATCTAAAAGAGAAAAGATGTAAAAGGACAAATATGTTTCGTTTTGTTCTCCTTTATACTTTTGTTTTGGTTATTACAACTGATAACCTGTGAAAAATAGCTCTACTCTTTTACTGTATATTTTAGTATATTCATTGGCATTGAAATTTAGAAGACGCGTCAAACTACACTTGCGGGACGCATTAACTAACATTTATATTAATTTTTCTTGTTATTGAGCTCATGAGAAATGATCTAAAAAACATCTTCTCGTTTATTCTTCATAAATCTTAGATCAGTGTCTGCTTAATATGTTTCTGCAAAGACACTAAAAAGACACAAAAAAAAACATTTATTAACCAGAAACAAATACGTGAAAGATTATTGTATATGGTTAATGAAAGATGATGCGTAGATATAACTACAAATCAGTTACTATTCTGTTCTATTTATTTTTATTAATCTCTCCATTTACATTAGAAAAAAAGGTAACAGTTTCCAGATTAAAAGAAATTTGTTAATACAATAGAGTATTTAAGAATTCCTTCTACAAAATTAGTTTTTACTACTTCCTCACTTAGGAATTGGTGACCCTTGTAGTACCTAAGAAATAGTGAAGTTCTTTAAGGTCATTTTTGTCCCCATAAGATTATCTTACCTTTCTCTTTCTAATTCAATTAACTTTTAACAACTGAAAATCAATTTTGACAATTGAATCACGTTTCTATATACAATGAGTTAATTTATCCTCTTTCAAATACTTTATAGACATGTCAGATATTAATTAATATTGACAGGTCATTATTAGAGGACATGAAAGAAAAGAAACCAAACATTGCCAAGTTTATATCCGCATGTTCTTTTGAAAACATATCTATCATATTCATCCTTCATCGACAACCACGAAATTGTGCAAAACAAAATATTTATACGTAAAGTACACTCAGTAGGTAAATTATCATTCACCACTAGAGAATACCAACAATTATATCCGTAAACTCTCAGTCGAATTCCAAAAACAAATTTCTGTTTAAAAGAAGTTAAGGGAGACGCACTTTTATTGTCAAAAAAAGAAATGTATTGTGTAGAAAGGAATTGAAAAGACAACAGGAGTCTTACTGATACTAAGAAGTGATACTCTATCACACTAATAGATACAAACATAGATACCCGAAATATAGTTGAACTAATTCAATTTGTTGTAAATCCTCACATATATATGTTATAGGATTATACGTGGTAAATAGAAGTCTCCTGAAACTTGATAAATATATGACCCGTATGAAATACTGCGTAACGCTAATTGTAAATCTTCTAATGAATATTGTTGTCTATTATTAAGTTTAGCGTAAGTTCGAAGCATTTTGAAAGTTAAGAAATAAGATGAGAAGGTATTGTTAACATAGAGTTTATATAGGAATCGAAAATATTTAAGTTTCGGATGCGAAAATAAGTTGCGTTTTTTTTTCAATTGTTTTTAGTATACTGTAGGGAGGGAAATTATTTATGGAAAATACTCGGCGAATTCCAAAGAGTATCTATAGGAATTCTTCGAAGATTTTCCAGTTTATGGAAAATCGAATTTCCAACAATCTAGAAAATTGGCATTGAATTTTCTATACATAATTCCCAAGAAAGTAGAAATTCCTTTCACTTTACGTGACGCTCTTACACCTACACTGATTGCAAAACAAAAAGACGAATAAGTAAGTATTTGGTCTAGAAATTCCTGGGCGAATTTCCACTTTCTAGAAAATCGCCGGAGATTTTCTAGTTTATAGAAAATTAGAATCGAATTTCCGGATTCCTGGAAATTATTTATAGAAAATCGAATTTATGGAAACTCAACTCGATCAACATTTTCTAGAAAGGTGGAAATTCGTCGAGGAATTTCTATAAACTAGAAAATCTCCGGCGATCTTTCGGTCGATTTTCTATAAACTGGAAATTAATTCAAGATTACAGTGTACAAACAAAAGTTATGCTGAGTGTGTTTATGTTTCATAACAGATCATTAATTACTGTTTAATATACAGTAGTAATGTTGCAGGAGAAAAGTTACTTTTGAGCACGGAATTAGATTGAAAAGAGAACAATATTTGATTGTTTAGAGCACAGAAAATAATTTGGCATAGAACGGAGCCTCAGACGATTGGAAACAGAATGGTTAGACAGGTTCTTATGTACCCGTGGCGTTTTCTAGTGGCAATTTCATCTTCTTCAACGTTTACGATAGAAATACACCAAGCAAATCATTGAAAAAAGCAGTTTATCAGTTCATAATCCTTGTTTACTTTACCCAGGCCATCTTAGCTTTCTTTGGTCGTCCACGTTTCTTTGAAAAATTATATTTGTACCATGTACATGTGAAAAAAGTTTTTTCATATTCGCTCACATAAACATCTAGATCTTCTATACAACTCTGAATTTCAGACTTTAAATTCCTCCTTCTTCAATATGATAAACAACTGGAACCCTGGAAAGATGGTACTGTATAACCCCTTCTCTTTTGAATCGTCGAAGACTCCGTTCTCCAAAAATTAGAACCGTGCTCTTTCAGCGGCGTAACCAGGATTTTTAGTACAATGGGCAAACTTCTATTGTAGCGGAAAAAAACGATGGGCAAAATGGGCAAGGTTTTTGTCGATGGGCCAAAAGATTTTTGGTCCAAGAAGAACAAAAAAAAATGAAATGAGATTCTTTTAATTTTTGAATTAGATTCTATTTCAAAAATAAACAAACAATTCTGTCTATAGGCACTCTTACAAATATCTTCCTAAGGGTTATACAAAAAGAAACCGCCTGAGTATATCTGCTAAGTAAAATTTCAATGGGCAAAAACTTACTAATAAAAATTACAATGGGCAAATCCCCAAATGAAATGGGCAATTGCCCATTTGTCCCCCCCTTGGATACGCCGCTGTGCTATTTTCAATCTAATTCCGTATTCGTAAAAATTGTCGCCCAGTGTTGTATTTTTCTGAAATACTAGTCACTTATCTTATATAATTTCGAACGGCAGACGGTTAAACAGTTCGAGAGATATATATTATGTAATTTTCAGAAGATTTTAGGTAAGCATTCTGATATGTATTTTAATAATAACTAACTCTAACTTGGGTACTATGTTGGTTAATTTCAATCGTATGTGCATATTATTGTTTTATTCAGCTCATAAAAGTACAGTTCATAACTTATATAGAAATTTTTTCATAGATTGCTCATCATTATTAATGAGCAATAATACTGATCAAATTTATCATCAGAATATGTAAAAAATTGCATCCAAATGCGTAAGATCATAGAGTTTGTTGACCTTTAGCATTTGAAATGCAATTTTTGTGCAATATATGGCATAGACGATGAGATGATTAATACCTTTTACCTAAAGAGTATTTCAGAAATCTAATTCTGAAATACACCAGAGGTTTATCTCGGAAAACTTCATGTATTTGAATGGATCGATCGGAATTACCCCAGGAAAAACAACGTACGGGCCCAAATTACTCCAAGTGAAGAAAATCGTGTCGGTGTGAAGATACGATTCCGTTTGAATACTATTCTAGAACGGACAGAGTTTTTCATCAGCGGGTAGACAAGTACCTTACTATTCAATACTGTGTCTATTCGATCAACAGAACTAAGCTAAATACTGACTCGAAAGTCAGTATGTCTAACTGATGTGTAACTGTGTGTCTGAAGTCTTAACGACGTCTGAACAAACCACTACAGTCTAAAATGTGGCGGCTAAAAAGATGGCTTTTCAAAACACATAGAAATCTAACTAGTGTCTAGCTTTAAAGAGAAAATGGATGTCGGACAACTTCATTATGATCACGGTGTCATAATGAAATCAGTCGTGAATCCCATGCGCCTTCGAAATAGAAAATCACTTTAGTGTAGGAAGAGATGTTCTGAGAATTTGCGAAGGCGAAAACAGGAGAAAGACTTTGGAGACGTTTAAAATATAAATATAAAATAGTTAAATCAGTTAGTTAAATCAGTTGAATTTACGGATACACCCGATGTAAAGTTTCGTTCATCACAGTTTTAATCATTTTACTTGCTCTCAATTCATTTTAGGATGTATTCTATATAACAATATGATATCGTGATATGATCGCTGATTGTCAAAAATTAGCAGATAGTGTTAATAAACACATATCACCCGCATGGATCTTCATTGGTACAATTAGCAATATTCTTAGTATAGCCGTGTTATTACGTCGTCGTATGCGCATTCATTCAACATTTTGCTATCTCGCTGCTTTGTCGTTTGCCGATTTAATCGTACTTTATACTGGAATGTTGAGAGACTTTTTGTTTCATCGATATAATTTAACTATTTCAACCAAAATACTATGTAAATTACACGTATTCGCATTCTACTATTCATTACATTTAAGTAGTTGGTTACTAGTCGCTGTTAATATCGATCGATATATCGCTGTAACATTTCTGAATTTTTCTCGTACATGGTGTACATCTAAAAATGCTCTATTTATTTCATGTAATCTTGCACTTATTCTATGTTTGGTTGATGGTCATTTATTATTATTTGTTGATTCTTTTTTTATTCAGAACGGAGTGCCTGTTAATGAATTTGTTTATAAAAAATGTTTTGCAACAAATGGAACATATGAATATTTTTTCAATATAATTTTTCCATGGTTTGATATTTCATTACAAGTTCTACTACCATTTCTAATTATGTTATTCTGTAATATAACAATTGTTCGTAGAGTATTATTAACAAAGCGTCGAACAAATCACCAAACGATTACATCAAAATTACGAAGTATGTGTATTATGATTATTAGTGTATCGTTTATATTTTTCGTACTTGAATTACCCGTAGGGATATTTATTATTTTCTATCAGTCTAAAACAGGTAACTCTGACAGTGATACAGCGTCACTTTTAAATCTATTTAATATCGGTGATTTGTATCAAAATGCGACGTTTCAAACGACCGTTGTTGAATCATCATCGTGTGTCGCTGCAACATGGGCAATATTAAATATAATGATGTATACTAATCATGTTATTAATTTTATTAGTTATTGTATGACTGGCAGTCGATTTCGATCAGAATTATATGCTCTAATATCGTGTAGAACAGGTTATATAATAAGATTGAAAAGTTCGAGAAATCAGAAAGCGAACTATGATGGACTTAAAACGGAATATTTAAAAAGTGATGGTATTACACATGAAAGACGTCGATCAACAAGGACTATTGTTGCATTCATGTTAAATGGTGCACACAAGAGTCGTTCTTCAACAATCAGATTAAATAAACCCGTCTTAGAAATCCGTGAGAGACAATTATAATATGGAATTTTTTATGATTAGTTGATTATAAAGCTAAGGTCAGATCAGCAATAAACATGCGAATATTAGTTCTAATAAACAGACTGTCTCATCCTAAGAATACAATTATACGAGGTAATTTTCAACACGAAACGCAAGTTAACAATTGACAGAGGCTATTTTCAAGTGCGTAAGTTACTATCCAAAAAAATGATCACTGTTTTACAAAGACGTTGTTCTACCAATATTCGTAAAAGATTTACTATATATTACGTTTTATGCAATTGTATTTAAGTCACGTAGAAGAGTAATTGTCTTTTCCTGCTACTGATTCATTAAGCTTCAAAATGTTTGTTGAGACGTTTAAGTATCTCTCTGTGAATAAGAGAAACAAGCTGAATTTTGACTTTATCATACACACTGCGTTATTGTCTTTAACACAGTAAAGCGTCTAGTGGCTAGTCATTACGTTAATTATTCGTTGAATCCGTATAGAGCATGGTCATAAAGTGAATCGCACGATATGCGAACACTATGCTTTAAAAGTGCTACTATAACTCAGATCAATTATCCGTTTTTTTTGAAAAACTATAAGTCCCAAACGTTCAAAACACCTTCTTTCAAGCCTTCTGGTTGACTGAATTAGTCACAAAGTCTCAACAGAGGACATTCACTAATTCGTCTATAGTATAACTGCTATGGCATAACTTAGAAAAATAACGTCTCATAATTCAGTTTAATGTAACGAGTGGCCCATAAAGAATTGCACTGTTCGTATTTCAAACTTTCTCCTCTTCCTTACACTTGATTGAGCTAGTTTTTTAATATAAGATTCTCTCTCCGTTGAATTCTCGACTAGAAATGTATCGACTGTTCTATTGCGAAATCCGAAGGTGTAAAATACCATGAGAAAATGTGAAAAGCACAAAAATGTAGAAAAAATAAACATAGTTACAGCTTTTTTGGTATTACCTGCTAAAAGTTTATGAGAGAGGAACGCTGAAGTACCCACAGTGTATGCCTCGAAAAGCTCCATTTTCTATCTATAATTTAAATAATTTTCAGTTAGAATTGAGAACGCAAGAATTTCGTTATTTTTTGCCAATTTTTCAAAAAAGATGATTTTTCACCAATAATTCAAGCCTTCCAATAAAACAAATAAAACTTAGTCAAACTTGATCTATTCAGGTTGATTCTTTTAATTCCGAAAACAAATGATTAGTCGTTATGATCGGTTCTCTAAGATTTAGAAAACAAATTTGGTTTGTTCCATCGCGCAAGAAAAAAGGTAACAACTTTTGCTACTTTCACTTGATTGCGGAGAAGTTAATCTTTGCGTAGGATATCTAGATTCAAACGATTTTCGCTCTACATGACGAGAAAGAGCGTATTGAAACTACACAAAGATATACTGAAACCGTGTTTTAATGCTTGCGAAATCATTCAAAAAAAATGTCGCTCTTTTCGAGAAAATACGTATATTTTTTCTATATTTTTGTACTTCTCACATTTTCTCATGGCATTTTACACTTTCGGATTTTGCAATAAAACAGTCAATAGATTTTTGTAGAGAATTCAACAGAGAATCTTTTATTAAAAAACTAGCTCAATCAAGTGTAAAGAAGAGGAGAAAGTTTGAAAATACTAACAGCGCAATTCTTTATGGGCCACCCGTTATAATAACATCAGTAACTACTATCCATTTCAAAATAGAATCCAGTCCATTGTTCTCTGAATAACGTTTGACGTAATCGAAAGAGAAGTTTTGGGGCTACCGAACGAACTATAGAGAAAGGAAAAGAAAATTATCATCTGCAGGTGAAGTACGTTATCATTACTTTTTAGGTAAGACCTCCCTCCACTAGCAAAGTTTTGGATTTTGAATGGTGAAGCGTGGGTTCGAACCATTAGACTTCACTCTACAAAAATACTTAAGTCCCAAGTCCCCACCTACCATGGTTCAGGCGTTCCCTGAAACCCTACCTGCCTGGAACTAAAAAGTTCATAACTCAGTCAAAATCAATTCAGCTTACACCAAAATTTCAGCATATACACCATTTTGCTTGCTAAACCTGGTCCTGCAATTAAGATCAAAAGAAAAAATTCTCTGTTTTGCAAAGACTTCTAGAAAACTTTTTCCTCAAAAACCAAGTCCTTTCTCTTAATTTTCAACAAATTTATTGAAATTCAGAATATACAGCAAACAGAATGGAGTATATGTTGAAAGTCTGGTGTAATTTGGATTGATTGTGACTGAGTTGTGAACTTTTTAGTTTTCAGAGAAAATAGTCAGAAGTGGGGGTTATTTCATCTACTATCCATACCAAAATATAATGCAGATTGTCATTTTTTGAATAACTCACGGGGAGGTCTTACCTAAAAAGTAGTGATAACGTACTTCACCTGCAGATGATAATTTTCTTTTTCTTTCTCTATAGTTCAATGCCCCAAAACTTCTCTTTGATGAATTCAAAACATTACAAAAGACAAATAGTTACACATATTCTACTTTACTAAGTTCGTTAGCATTTGTTTGCTGTAGTTTTAATAGTTTTCACTTAGATTTATCCTCACCAAGTGCATTAGACGCATCTGTCTACGCTCTCTCTTATGGTATAAAAATCATTTGAACGCGTGTCTAAATAAATGAAGAAAATTGAGACACCATTCACAACTTTCCGAGAATTATAACTAACCAACTGTGATAGTCTGTGAAAAATGACATTTGGTTATGATCACGTGTTCACCACCAATAGCTTCAGATAATGATTTTATATTGATTAATCCTGTGAGTATCAAATGTTAAAAATCTTATCATCCTTTCTCCTTTATTCATTGGTTTTCAACTTATTACAGTTCACGTAGTCATAATCCCAAAAAGTGGTATATGTTCCATCGCCTGTCAAAGAATTTACAATCCTTACTCTTTAAGGCCCCCCTCCCCCTCAGGAATTCGATGTTTTCTTCGAAACTGAAGTGACCATACGGTTCAGTATCCCAAAGTGTCATCTTTCAGAATCCTTCTCAGCTTGCCAAAAAAATTTTTGGAGTTTTTTTTTGGGGGGAGGACAGTTTTGGAAGGATTTTGAAAGAGATTTCCGAAAGCCCTAAAAATCCCCTTTTTCTAAATTTCACGTTTTAATTAAAATTTTTAAGCCTGCCCGTTTTAACAGACATGGAGCTATGTTGAGCAGAGTGTTTTGATCAGAATGAGATATCCAGCAGCTTTGCACACTTTGTCTTGCAGAGTTATACTAGTTTTACTAAAGCCGCTGAACTATAATCAATGAAGTGATGCCGTCATTGCTTAGAATACGGCTTTGGCGCAGTAAAGTTGTAATAACTCCTAGACGATTCATCGTAAAACCTTCATTCTTTTTTTATTTTGAGACAGCTGAGACATTTATCTAAACTTTAATCAGCGGCGATTTTTGTTTTTTGTGCAGAGATAAGTGGCAAATACTCCGCCTAATTAGGGTTATTTTCAGAGGTCTGATTTAAAGTACGTGTAGGGAATGAACAGAATCGAAATTCGGAAATCGCCATGGATTAAATTTTAGATTTAGGTGTCTACTTTCATTTGAGGCCTCTCGCAGCTTTCTGCACCTTCCAATAAAAAAGTTATAACGCTTTTGCTAAGAGCCCCATTTTGCCCCTTGTCACGCAATAACTCGACAGCGCTTCACCGTTTCGATTTCAAATTCTTTGCATAATCTCGTAGGACAGCAAGCATTAGTCACTGGAAGCGCCATCGAAATTGGAAGTAGGATAAAAAAGTTTTTTCCTGAGAGAGTTCCCTTAAGGGTACTCCTCATTTCATGTCTTAATACAGTATCGTAGCGATTGATCGAGGGGACTTGGACTTTTTACCAGATGCTTTCCGATTTAGGCTCAAGGTGTACCGTTGATGAAAAAATTGGATGATTTTAAAGAAATTTTGTGGAAAATCAGATTTTGATTTTGAGAAAACTAACTGCACTCCCTATGGAGAAAAGGAGCTGGAGAGCTAAATTGAAAGACATCTGAGGGTATGAATGTCTAGTATGTGTGTGAAAATTTTGAACTCGAACAGACAAAAGTTCGGTGGATTCTGTACGGTACGCCATGTGGCCGACTCGAGATTTGAACCAGGAACGTCGCAGCACACAGATAACTTTTATTAGAGCTCCTGGCAAAATGCGTACAACTTTTGAGGAAAACATCATGAGTTTACTTTTTGTTTGTATTATAGTATTAACAAGAAACAATCTAGAAATGTGAGGGATGTTCCTCTTTGTAGCTGAAAGTGGGCTCTTCGGAATCCACTCTATGATCACTTCGATTCACTTAATCTTCTTTGCCTTACGTAATGCTAATATCCGCGAGAAAAAGCAGAATTTAATTTTAAGCTTACTGTATTTTAATAGTAACGCACTCTCACTCCGATAGCAGAGTTACCCGATTTAGCCAAATAGTTGAAGATGTCTTGATTAATTTTTCATCTCTGAGCAAAAATGAAATACAAAGTTTTCAGTTTCTATACCTAAGCACAAGAAAAGTCGATAACCGCCCGATTATCGGCAGACTGTTTTTATGAGCAGTTCAGAACGTTTTTCCCAACAGTTTCTTGCGGTTATGTCGGTTCCAACACGCGGTTTTAACGATCCTTCTTTCAACGACGGTTATCGTTTCGTCAGTTCTGCACGTTTTTTTAGCGGAATAACAGGGTAAAGTCGCTTGAAGAACTGTCACGTTTCAAGCACCGTTTGATTTTGCAACCGTCACTGCTATGCAATACAACTTCTTTAGATGAAAGAAGTTCAATCTTTCTCTCAACGATTCATCAAAGTGTGAATATTGACTTGAGTCGATAAAGGTAGCTGTTTTGTGTGAGAAAGATGAAAATATTGTATAGTAAATAAATAAGTGTTTGAACTAGGAGATTCTACAATATGCACCAAAACGGTTTGTCTAACAAGATAAGTCTCAATTTTTTCTCAAAAATGGTTTTCTGGTGGGATTATCGAGTTAGATTCGGATTA